AGAAACTTAATGATACTCACGCGGATTCTTTTCAACCCATAAGAAGGTTTCATAGCCATTCTCGGAGCCCCAGCCATCAAGTTGGGAACCAACAGGTTGTGGAAAGTTGACTCACAACGGCTGGAAAAGATTTTGTGAACAAATGAATTACTGGTACTTTTGTTAGTAGCTCAAATCTATTGGGAGAGAATTAATCGATTATCGAACACACATCGCACCGGTCCTTTTGCTTTCGTCAGACGGGCGTAGACTGTCCGATTACTGGTACTCCTGACATAAATACGGTCACTTGATTTGTAATATGGATGCGATACTTAATTACTCATGAGTACTCTGAGTAGCCATTAATGAGGTCTAGTGGACAACCGAGGTTTGAACAATGCCTCTTGAAGTTAAAAGGAGCAATGTCCATATCACGTTTTTTTCCTTCCAACATCTATCCATTTACTCAGAGAAATAACAGAAAACTCGCCTAAAGGTGTATGTTCTCCGACGTGTGGGAGAACAATAAAAGTGATTCTAGTATGAGTTCCCTACTAGTTCAAAATTACGGGGCGCACTGATGCTCGTAGGAAAATAACAATGGACGATCTCCAAATCATTTTCCTAACCAGCTTTCCGCACTAACAGTGGTTAACTAACGACCTCAGGTGTCGTCGTCTAGCGATTTCCCTAGCTCGGTGTAGAACCAGGCAGTGTTCATAGTATTTACATGATATCTTCTCTGTATAGGTAAGCTTTGCTCTGAGTGTGGACCTGGCACTCAACGTCTGGATGCCCATGACATTCCATATGACAGAAGAATGAAAAGCGTCGATTGATGATGAGGGAGAACTGGATCTTTATCCAGAATCAAGATAGTGCCCACATATCACTGATTATTCACTAAACATAACAGCATTTACATTATTTTTGCCCCTAATGATAATTCAAGCTGCTCAAAGTTGACGTTACTCAATACATTGCTGATTTTCGCTTCCCTCCGCAACGATAGCTAGTGGACAGCAACGTAGGTCGAGTATGCGATTTACCTACTGTTTCGGCTTTGATTGCACTAGCGGAAGACTGTCTCTTATTTACCAAGGTCTTTTCGGATACAGCACAAACGCAAAGTNAGTGTCTTTCCCTACCAATAAAAATTCCACAAAGTGTAGTAAGCGCATAAATAGGAGAGTTGTTTTCCCGGTATGAGAGGGCTGTGGTTAAAAAGTCACCTGTCTTAACATCGGGATCTATAGACCTATTGCCAAGTTCACTTTGCTAGTGATATCAACGACACTTTCCTCTAAAAAACCAGTGTAACACGTAATGTTAGCATGGCATCGTCGCCTCATGAGTGTCAGCAATAAGTCATTATAAGAACTTTCAGATATATATTTCTGGTAACATTCAAGCTTACAGTCTTGCAGTTTGTTGCTGTCACACACAGAGTCACTAGCACCCTACCGTGTTTGTTCAGAACATTCTTATTCTGTCGGATGCTCGCCTTTTCTAAGAATGACAGCTCCGCGACGAACAATGTGGCGTTTAACATTTGTCACAGTCAGTCGATCCCATTAGCTACTAAGGAACAGTATCGCAAACATTATTTTAGACTTTTGATTGCATCAAAAAGAGGAGTCCAACTGTTGGTCTACACGGCTGCCAGCTTGACTATCCGTATACATAATTCGTTATATTTGTCCTGTGAACAGCAATTAGATAAACAATTCGGTTATCTTCGAGCCAATGGAAAGCCTTATTTAACCCCACATGAGGAAAACCATATTAATATGAAGTCTTTTGCATGAACTGCTCAAAATGTGCTTGAAATGGTTCGCTTTTTACCCCTTCTTTTTCGACTACCAGTGAGTTTATAGTGTTTCCCTTGGAATTGTATTATCTTTAGGTTACCTCTATCTATTTCACACCTGAATTATCGGGGACGACTAATTTGGTGCTCTTCTTTGCGCTTTCCTCCCGTCAAAAGTGTCATCTTGAGGTTGAGGAAGGAGCAATGTACACCGCTTATATGATACATGGTAGGAAGGCGAAACTGGCTGAAGTGGGAGTTTGCGAGAAAGCTGAACGGGCTGTTGGTAACGACAACTACCGTGATATTTCCGAGAGTCAAACATTACACAACTGTAATTGTCTCAACAGTTGCAAAAGTCTCAGTCGTGACTAAGCTGGTCCATTTCTTTCAAACTCGGTGGATTGATAGAATGATATCCGATATATAGTCCATGTTGTTCGGTCTCATCAAAAGCAGAAATATGATGATGCTGATGAACATTATGAAGCTTCTGTCTGTCTACGATAAGTCTGACAAATACCAGGTCGTGTGATCTATGCAAATAGTTTCACAGGAGAAGGTAAACAAGAAAACATAGAATTAAGCTGTGGAATTGATTTCTCAGTTTGTATACACCAAACATATCACCTGTGCGCAAATACAGAATAAATAGATAAAAAACAATGGTTCGTCTGTCGAACCCTCTCAATGCATAGCTGTCGTGCAACTCAAATAAAGCACGATGGCTAAGATACTTTCAGACCGCCCAAGCTTCGACAAGAGCAACCGATTGGGTTTGAACCAGGGACGTTCAGTTTAGTAGTTTCGTGAAATAAGTAGTGGTTAGCTGCAAAACATTCAACCGACCGAGGGCAGTCGGTGACCTTTGCTCAATGGACTGAATCGGCATACCACCACTTCGACTGTGGATACTTTTAGGTGTTTTCTCTCCAGCTGTTGCTGAGACTTATGTTGTCTTTTTGATGTAATCTTTCTTCACTAGCCCTAATGTATGCCTGTAGCGCTTCTTTGATTCGTGCATTACCTACATATTTGGCGTCTCGATAACCGGATCATTCGACTAACAGCGTAAAATGTTCCCAGTCTCTTACTAGGTCTGTTGATTGGTAAATTTAAAACATTAGCTACACACTTTGTTCTTCAATGATCATTCATTAATAGATTGATCGTTCTTCCTAATTCATCGCCAGTTCTAAAGGAGGCCTAACAGATGTCAACCTAGTCTCCTCTACGTAGGCTACCTCCTGTGTAAATATAAGCCGGCTTTCTGAGTAATTTTCATCCCAGTAGTTAGAGAACGAGGGCTGGTGGCGATTGTCGCAGCTATCGATCAAATGTACTGGCTAGCAGTTGTTACTAATAAATCAGATTCGCCGAGTGCGCAATTGTGGTTGGCAGCGTGCAGCTGGTCATCTGGTTTGGACGAATTCTGCCTCCAATCCGACCTACTGCGCCTTAACAAGAGCCAGACACCATATCCCTCTAAGTTTCTCGAAACAATTCCATCATTGAAACAAAGTGCCAGGCGCTAAGTTGAAATCAGTAACTATCCCGTATGAGTATGTATGCCACGTCGTAAACCGGTAGGCACATGACACCGAATGGGTTAAGTATACTGTAATACTGGAACGATCAGGAAAAAATCGATCCCTGTGGGACCGTGGCGGTCCAACTTAACCGCTTTTGGGGACAGTAGCACTCTAGGTGAACGATATCACATATTTTGTATCAAACGAACGGATAAATAAGCATGAAGAAGATCCGATAAAATTGTTAGGGCAAGTAAGTCTTTAAACGGATCACATACAATTCTTCTGTGGTTTTTAAGGGGAATATCAGGGGTAATTTTTGCAGTTTTTGATTTCAATGCAGTGCAGTGAAAACGCAAATCTCAGTGGGACACGAGGATACCCAAGAAAGGGTAAATGTTTAATCTCCTCATCTCAGGCAGACTCATATGATCTGACACACACATGAGAGACGATTGCTATTAGACCTTACTGAACCAACTAACGGTTTTATCTGCTTGCATAGTGCATTTCCTTTCTGACCGGGTGTGTTATCCATCTGGTTTCATAATCCTGATCGCAGTCGATCATTTCAGCAAGTCCATCTAACTCTTTTAAGCAAGTTGCAGTTGTCTGTCAACCAGCCTTTCGTAGGTGCCAATCCAAGGACGAAACACTTCCAAACGTCTCTGTTTCTATTGTAACTAGCACTGCACGACGCACTCTTGCAGCTGTGACAAGTGAGATTGTCGGGTTTGTTCACTGTGGTACAGTGCTGACGGAATTTCCGTGTGTGAAGTTTGCAGCGGTTAACTACATGCACCCTTACAGTGCCAGTCGTTAAAAACTGACTGTGATGTTTTATTCTCAAACCATTGCAAACCATGTTTTAACAAATGACGAAAAAGCTCTTTCGTAGATCACTGAAGTGCTTTGAAAGTGCACTCATTCAAAATTGCAATAAGGTCACCCTAGTATTAAGAAATTGTGTATTATATGGCCCTTCACATAATTTCCTTTGTTCAGTGGCCAGCAGCCACTTTGAACTCGCAGCCACATCATCCGGATCAATGGTACCTCTTTTTAGAACAGATAAATTTTTCCGAATCTCAGCAGCGGCTATTTCTGTGTATGGTGAGTGCGTATTATAAGAATATCTCCGTATTTACGATATTAAAAGAGAATACTCCACAAGAAATACTAACCTTTGAAAATTCGTCACCCGAGGAGCCAGTCAGCAGCGGGTCATGATGCGTGAACGGCGTGATACTTCATCGTGTTGAATGGTTAACTGTGTTGTTTATCAACCACTCGGAGCCAAACACATTCAGTCTTCATATCTTATCCGTTTCGAATTTTCCGCCAAATGTGCGTTTTTAGTGATTCCTAACAAGGATGAGACAGGCGTACGGTACACATCAGCTTTTGGGCACACATTCGCTCCACGCGCATCAGTTGCCATCGGATCCCGCTCGCACAGTAATTCCGTGGAATTACTGCGCCGACCCATTTCTTAGACAAGCAGGGAAATGTGAGAAATTCAAATCAAGTCCCAAACAGTTGGGGAACAGTGCATGAGATATTCCTCGTGACCGCTCACGTGGCTGTGTAATATCACCTGATCAGATGCGCGTTGGGCCGACCGTATCTCACCATCCGAACCGGTGATTTACCAAGTTCCATACTTTGTGTTTCAGGTCCAGTAGAACCATGGTTCACTCTCAGTGAGCGCGTTGCAATCGCCGTTTCCGTGCCCGTCTTCATCCTACTTTGCTTGCTGCTGTGCTACGTGACCCAACGGCGAAGACGTTCGAAACAAAAGTCTAACCTTGCTCCCGGTCAGAATCATGAAATCGAATTAATGTTGTGATTCCGCGAGCCAAACATACCACGCCAAGAGTGATTGTGCAATGCAGAACCGCACAGAGCTCCAGCTGATGTATCTAGAAGGCCGATGTGTATGATATATTTGTAGTTCCAGTCCCTCCCAATGCTGTTTTTTACACACCCCTAACCTTGACTTTGATGTACCCTTATCCCTATCGCTTTGCTTTTTATAATATATTGTACAGAACTGGAAAGTCTGTCTTCCTATCTCTCTGAGTTACAGTTTTTTTCAATCTATGCACGTAAAAATGGTTCATCGCACACCATGGCACAGAGAATAGATACACGTTAGGACTGGTACTTTGAGAAGCGCAAAACACGGAATGACTAACTTTCTGTGAAGAGCTGAAATATCCTAATGCGAGGTCTGATGTTCTGTTGTAGCACTGGTTATTCGATGAGGGCCACGCAACCCAACCAAATCAATATGAATATGCAGAAGGACAATGGGCCATTAGTCGGTTGTAGTGACATAAACAGCTTTTTGAGTATGAAATAAACCTTTGTGGGGCCTTGTACGAAAAGCGTTGCAGCACAGGAGCTTTTGTTTCCTGCGCTGACCCAGCCACTTAACCCAAACCACCCAAGGGAAGTGACCATCCGACTAAGTCCACTTATCTACGGCCGCGTCAGTTTTGACCGACAATTTCGGCAGATTTTCATCCGTTATCGAAAGCCGACTTGTACACTGTTTTCCTACACGTCATAAGACAGGTACCTGACTGCCAGGAATTTAAACAACACTGAAACCGAAGTACCTTAATGCATATTTTCATCTACCTGAATATCCCACCAACGAAGATGTGGAAAAGAAACAAACCATGTTTCATCGAAACTGGTGGTTTTCTTGAATTATGAGGAAAGCATGAGTGATAGTTACGATCGAATTTTTACAGCAAATGTTGTTCCGAGGCTTGAATGACAGGTAATGAGACCACAAAATTGAGCGAATTGTGGGAACTGAAGCGAACTCACCAACCTTAGTATGGCGAAGTTGAATTGTTCTACCAGAAAGCTTGGGAAAACTTACTCACTTTATGCGACAAAGAATCGTGTTTGTTTTTAGGGAACTGCAGTCAGGCCGGCGGATCGGTTGTACTTCTTATTAAGGAGCGAGATGGACCAAGCGGTTAGACGGGGATTTTACTGATCAGAAGTCCGTGTTTGCCCTCATGCCTCCTTCGCGTGGCATGGCAGCTAAGTACCGAAAGGGTGCAACAGCTCAACAATTTTTTATTATTATTTACTTCTTATTAGGGTATTGTGATGTATTTATATGCTTGCAAAAGTGGTTGGTGTTAGACGGCCATCGTTGATCTCCATGAAAAGCACTATCGACAAAGCCTATTACAGAATTTAGCGATTCTCCACCTACTGCCTCTGGTTTTCGTTTTTAGATTGTCAGTCTGCATTTGCTGTTGTGTCGTAATTCTAGTGCATTGTATTATAATATTCGTATCACTTTGTAATGAACTGTATTGAGTTTTTCTCTGCTGTATTGTGCTGTACCATACCACAGTGGATTCCGCCGTATATTATTCTATTCAGTGAATCGGGTTTTGCTATCGTACGCACACAAAAACATCTTTTATGCTTACACTGAAAATTTCGGAGAGTTAGAATACAACGGTCCTATAGATGACTCCCCGTGACCAGATTTAGCTGATTAATAACTAACTGTAGGTAGTCATGTGTGTGATTAAGGTGCACCTCACTAGTGGGAAGAGCCGCCAGGTAACCTTTCGCATACACAGTGGGTCCCAAATGCTCAGTTGTCCTCACCGAATCGGTTGATAACGGGCCACCAGTTTGGTGCGCTGATGGCTATAGAACTGCCCCATTTGTTCACCCTCCAATCTTAACCCCTCAGGTTTACACCCGGCACAGGATTTCATTTGGATCCACATCCAGATTGGCGCAAACCTGTTGTGTGCGGGGGTAAATTGACCCCCTTCAGCATCCCAGGCCAACCCGGAAGCAGAATCCGGCCCACAATGTTTGCGAATAACAGCGTGCACGAGCTGCCTGTGAGCCAGCGTAATCCAACGTAGCAATTCTGGCTACACAAAACAGACCGTCCTTACATGGTAGGCAACATAAGGTTCGCCTTTAGTTTTGTACGATTTTTCCCTGTAACACTATTCTGAAAGAACTGAGAGGTCGTGTGTAATTCAGTTGGTGAAGACATCAAACAAGCTAGAAACCCAACTGAATCGGTGGGAATCGAACGGCTATGTGAAAATTAGGCAAGGCCGGAAAATCCCATATGCTATATGACCTTGAATAGGCTAACGCACACCACGCGTATGTGACCTAAACCCGTGCCTATTGTTTGTTTTGTCCACCGCTGTAGGTGAGACGTTGTTGATTCAGGGTAGGAAGAATCATATCCAAGGTCGAATTCATTAACATAACGCTGTCCGACGATGGAACTGCAAGATAAGGGCGCAAACCCCTACGACTGTCGAACGAAGATTAACAAGCATATCGGGCTCAAAATCTCATCAAAATGGAACGCTGTGGTAATTGGTAGTGTGAGAAGATCTGAGGGTTTTCAATCGCGATCTAGTCCTGAAAGTGAAGCTAATCTATGCTGAGAAGCCTAAAAGCGTTCTACAGCTGTTTCATCCTTACTGGGAATAATCGACAGTCCTCATCTCACCCAAAAAGTTAGTCAACACGTGCACGTGACTGAAGAATGAAAGGCGCTACAGCCTACCCAAATGCGAGTTAATCACACTGCGGATCAACCGCTCTGGCCTACGGTTGGGCCTAACTACTACCCAGAAGGTTGCAATTTCAATTTTCTCTGAAGATCCGTGAGACACACTGCTGATGACTGCGAACATGGATAACACAGCTGTAGAATGCTTCCCGGCTTTTCAGCATAGATTGGCTTCACTCACAGAACGAAATCTCCATTGACGATCCAGGTACTGAAGTATTCGCATTAATTTAGGCTTTGTTGGATCGCTGATAGACATGCTCCGTAATGAGGTGTTTCGACAGTGAGGAGGCCAGATTGACAACACGAAAGTGCCCTAGTCAATGGCCGCGTTTGCATATTGAGTCTGCAATTCATTTTGTTGTGTTGCACGCTCCGCCCAGTCAGACCAAAAACAGACCATTATTTGCCATGTGTTCGAATGGAGAAATTTAGAAAGTCGAAATGTGGGTTTCAAAGGCTCTGTGAGCAGACTGGGAACATTGCGAAAGTGATTCGACGAATTTTCTATAGACAGCGAAATAGAAGGGATGTCATGGATGAGTGAGCTAGGGACTTCCTTGCGTTTACACAGTGCGGTCTAGCCTCACGAACTAGGTGAACCAATATCACCGGGACTAGATCATGTGTGCCCGTACTTAGAGCGGAGTTGACCATTCTTTGATGAACCTTAATTACTCAACGGACAAACCTAGAAGGAGTTCGAAGAATGATTTTGGCGGTCTAAGTGAATTTCAGGCTTGGACTTGAGCCCTGCACCTGTCAAACAGTATTTTCGCCAATTGATAAACGGATTATTTTGTTTGGAAATCTACGTAATACACTACTGTTTCGGAAAGAAACATCGTAATTTGCCTCCTGTCCGAAAAGTGAATTGCGAAACGGACAGATCACAGAATTAGCGTCAGGACGAGTGATAGCCCACTAACGAAAATTCCGTTGACAGCTTTGATTAAATGCTTCACCAGCCTGAATCGGCCACGGGAAGTAAGCGAATGCTGGCTGTTCCAAAGCGGATAAGTTCAATTCATGCCGACCGGTTAATGTGTAGCTGTCTCAGTTGTTCATTGTGTCTTTCGGTCAACGATTGCGTAACAAGGAGTCGAAACGATCAATAATTCCAGCTAACCGATCTTTGCCGCCTGCTCGGTGTTTCCGACTTAAGGTTGCTAACGGAAGGCTATCTTTCAGTTAATCGAAGCTTCCGTCAAGAAAAAACTTGACTTGTCCGCCCAAACGTTACCTTGATGTCAGACGAAGTATGAGTAGCGGTGTGAACGTTTGCAATCCTATTCAATTAGGGATGTGCTACGGAAAGTTTTAACAGATTAAGTTTAATCCAAGTATACTTAAACGCATGTATGAGCAGAAGCCCACAGTGATATTCCACAAAAGCAGAGGACTGTTGCTTATTAAATATATATTACTCAGCACTAATATAGGAAAAGTCTCAAGAAGAAAAATCTTTTAAAAAAGTCAACTTTGGCTCCCAGAAACATCGGGAATCAGCCGATCCGTATATCAAGTAAAATTACTGATGGACCCTGAGAAAAGTGAAGGATTCGCGCCAATGCGCCATGTGCGGGGTTGCAAAATACCGAATGAACTTCTGATGATCTTTTCTGGTTGAAATTGGAAAGCTGCGGATCCGAGTGGTGGGTATGGATTTCATGCAAATTCTATCTTCTTTGACTTCATGTTCTCCACATCGTCATCTACAGGTGGTGCAGTTGGGTTCGGATCTGATGCACATCGTTCTAAGTCGGTAAGTTCCACAGTGCCACGACTGAGTTGCACACGGTGTTCTTCCTCCTGTTCCTCATCGCTCATCGTCAAGTCTCGGAAAAAGTATCGAGTTTTGAAGATCTTCCACAATTGACACACAATGTCGGAACAAATCAAATCTCCCGCGTTTATGGCGATCATACGTAGAAGGAAGATACCATCTTGGCGAAGAAACTGTCGTTTGAACTTCTCGACCATACCTCGATCTTTTTTAGTCAGAACTTCACCCAGCTTGAGATACTTTTTAATAAAACAGGTGCGTGACTTTTGGTAGGACATTCGCATAAACCAGGTAGGAATGCTGATGGCGGTCAGAGTTGCGGCCAGAACAATCCAGAACCATAAAAAGACATAAATTCTTTCGTTCAACATATTCACAGGGAGCACACATTGTCCGGTTACGTAATTGCTTGCACCCATGTGACGAACGGGTACAAGGCAGTAGCCCACACGAGGAAAGACGAGAGTTCGTTGCCAATCCTTTCCGGATAGAATGTCACGCGCGATTGCAATTCCAAAAAAACTGTAATTATCATACCGAAGACCCAAAAACGTTTGCATCATAAAAACTTGTCCCACAGCGTTAAGCAAGTAGAGGCACTTTATGAACAGATAGATGGCAAACAGGCGAGTTCCAAGCCTCTTGCTGACAACCAAAAGACTGCATGTTTTCCACAACCGACGACGAATGTGACTCCAGACGTCATTGCGGTATTCCCGGTGCTGAAGAAAAAGACGGTTGAACGAGTAAGATGATAGATTTTCAGGTACTACAAGAAAAAGGATGAACTGTTTGAATATGAGCTGCCGTTATTAACAAGTTGAAAAGACCTCACTTTAGCTGTCCTCAAAGTGTTTTAAAGATAATGAGGCTGTGGTAGTGTACTGCTGTGGAGAAACGTTGCCGTCCGCTTCCTGATGCCAACAAAATACACAGTACACCAATAACACGGTAAGACGCTATCGTAAGTCCAACGTTTTGCTCCCTCGAGAACTACATTACTCCGTACCAGCAGAGGCTACCACGAGAGAGGAGGGTCTTCTCGCCCCCGGAGGGTCTCTCTTCAGAGCAGTCTTTCTTCCTTGGGTTGCTGTACGTCGCGTTTCAAAAACAAGGGGATTTTAGTAAGGTTAGGACTTCTCATCTGCCGGTTATCCACTTGCCCAAGGTTACCAATACCAGTAACACCTGTCTGTTAAAGTTGATTATTCAGGAAGTAATAAACTGATAACTCGTAGGCAGCTAATTGTGGTAAGCCATTGGTGCAACGGCTGGAATCGTGGATCAATCAAGCTGTCACTGAGGCAGACTGTTGGCCGAGACAACTGTGTAGGCTTACGGAGTGGACGTTGAATGAATTGCTGCAACACTTAATGTTCGCGTTTGATCCCCTCGATGTAGATACATTAGTCAGAAGGCTACCAATAGGTGGTTGAACTCCAATGCATGCACAACTGCTTCAAACTATCGTTTCAACTTTTGAATACTCTAATTTGAAAGGAGGTACAGGCATGCGGCAAATAACCCACGGGCCTGACGATGCTGCGCACTGTATTTAACTGTCAGCTCGCTATGAACGACTAGAAGAAAGTACTGAGGGACTTTGACTGTATGAATTCAGGTTTTACCCAATTATAACCAGCTGAGTAGTTGTGATGTCTTTTGTGTTGCCCTTTCGCTCTTACTAGAGATTACTGTTTTTATTCTCACTGCACGAAATCGTATCTCAGCCCAGCTGTGTGTTCGCTCACACGTTACTTATCCATGAAGAAGTGTCATATCAAGCATGAATTTAACAGAAAAAGACTAACGGACTCGTAATGAGAAAAGAAGGAAGTGATATAGGACGGACTGAGCTTTTCGATCTGAATGGCACTCGAATCAGCTGCTAATTTTGGAGGGACAAGAAGCCAAAACAGCTCGAGAAAAACAATGTTTCTCTCGTCTCAATAAAAATAGCCACAACAATAAACTTGTTGCTTATTTGATTTGGATGACCAGGAATGTTGTGAAACACTCTTAGGTGGGATAAACAAATAGATACAAAACATCCCCTGAGAAAGTAACCAGCGCGTCACATGAGTGGGTTGTGTTGACAAGAACAACCGATTGCTTCTCCTGCATAATACTCCGGATGCTGAGAAAACGGATCGAAAAAATAGGCCAGCGAATATTTCTGTCTCATCTTCTGATAAGCCTTCTTATTCCTCAAACGACGTGGTCATTCACCTGATGATAAATGATAAAGTTAAGCCTAATGTGACACCAGATCTTCGCCAACTTTTATCGAGTTCACTTTCCATGGACGTTCAGGATGAACTTGGTTGAAGCATTATGCAATAGTGAATCAGTGATTTAATGCACCTGTATCTGAGACCTTGGAAAGTACAGTGGTTAAACTAGCTCTGGAGTTTCAGTGCACAAACACATCATGAGCCTAATTAAATGCACTATATAACCGAAACTTTCAAGGACACTAATCCATCCGGCCATAGTTTTGCTTGTCTCACTTTTTTGCCAACTGAGCTGACTTGTTAAAACGAGTGAGATGGATGAGTGCAGAAAGCTCTGGAGAAATAATAGATGTAGCTTACGAAGGATGCATAGAAGTGTGCCTTAGGGTACCTGAAGTAAAAATACAAAACCTCTGTCACAGCCATTACACAGTATTATGAACATCGAGGGTTGTGAGGAGGCCATCAACCACTGACAAATTCGACCAAGCTAACCTGAAAGGAACAACTCATCGTCGGTCTGTGAAGCAAATCTACCTGGGAATACAGGATAGCTTGAAAGTAAGAGATTTCATTACATCTAACTTGTCAAATAAATTTCATCAGAGTAATCAATAGACAGCAATCTACTCGCCGCTGGTCAGCAACAAAACCACAGAACCATCGGTTACCCAGTGCATCCTTCAGTCCGTTGTGTGAATTTGCCCCGCGATAGCTCGCACCCCCGCTTCCTCAACAGAAAGAGATGGTGATACAGATAGCTCTAGTCCTGATACACGGGTGGGCGCATATATACCGGTTAATTACGCGGACGCGTTATATTATTCATACATGCGTTGTACCGCTCATCTGGCTAGGTCGGGTGACATTTTAAACCTGGTTACGACACTTCTGTCAGGTAATCAACGGAGATTAGCGCACAAAAAAAGTCAGTCGTACACTAGTGTTTCTCTCCCCCCTTCACAAATTGTTATAAATCATTTGTCGTTGGGATAAAGTGAAGTGGTTTACAAAATGTGGAGGTACGCACTGATCCCTCTGCCCTTGTTGCAACAAGGCGACTTGCCCCATTGCTGCGTTCTTTTGTTCATTCAATTCACGAAACGTTTACTTAGGGTGCATCACCAGATAATCCATACACTGCGGACAATTTAGTTGAATCATAGAAACGTTACACTTGGCTGTTTTAAAAGCGTATATGTGCACCGTTCCCCAGACGGCAGCCGGCAACAATTTGAAGACTTGGGGATTTAAACTCAGGTCATCGGTGCGAAATCCGACGAACTGTTTCTCAAGAGTCTGATATTCTGAACCGGTCCTATGTTGCTGATCCACGAAATTTCTTCAAAAGGCTGAACAGGGTTGCCGAAAACCTAGTTGGTCTTTCTAGGGTTGTGGCAATTACCTGAAATTTCGAAACTTTCCTTCGCTTCCTTTCTCCTACGCCCTCGGTGATTTTTTGTTCACTGAATCCTATCATAGATAGTCGTTATGTCTGAAAACAACGACGAGGGACATTTATGAATGATAGCTGAGTCATGGCAGTAACATTTGCTGCAGGTGGGTTGTGAGGAGAAATTCACCTTTTTACCTCGACCCGATTAATTTATGTTGGCCACAGTGAATGACATGGCAAACCAAAACGTTACCGACATCAGCCCTCAACGATGAACAGTCCGCAGTGGTTGCAGCCGAAGGTTTGCCCGCCAACAGCTGTCACGCTTCAGTAGTTTCGTGGTACCTTCTAAGCGATAGCACTAAGGAATAACTTGTAAACCCAGTGGTGGTACATCCGGTTGCACACGCATGCCTAAAGGATGAATGCACGATTCTTATAACGTTCCTTGTGTTATTGTAAGCAAGCAGAGGAAGAGATGTTGCACAATCATACCATGCAAGTGAACACAGCTAAGAGGTATGTGGGATGGGCGGTGTGATGCCTGACCCAGACGTGACCATCAGAAATATCTAAAGGCAATTTTATCTCACGTCAAATTTTTTAGAATCTCATATAGTACCCAACAACGTTGCAACTAAATGGAAGTCGTACCTTAATGGTGAGGACATGATCGGATCCGGAGTATTCGTGTCACAAGAACCCGTCTTTCTTATACTAACTCATCAATTGGAGGTCGAAAGGATCGGTTAAAGACGGTCTGGCATGGTCGAACTTTCCAAGGTGTAACTACAGCACCACTGTCAGCTTCTAGTAACATCCAAAGTCCATTACTCCGTCCTCGGTGAAATTAAATCAAAAACCTGGCTATGTATCAGTATACCTATTGTCTGACGAAGTCGATAGCTCACGTTTCGTCTAAATTTGGAACATTTCTCCCGTCAGCGACGGGTAGGAATTCCGTTGGACTTTCTCCTAGCGTGAAATTCTACAAAGGTGAAAACATGCTTTGGTCATCAAAAAGCACATGAATGGACTCAATTAAAATATCGACACGAATTGCACATCTTGTGATGTCACAGAAACAAACTGTCCAGTCCGATAACAGACTCGGCGATAAAAAAATCAGGATGTAGCACCCATATACCAGTAGCTGTCATCTGGCTTTCCCAAGAAGCGAAGCGGATTCCACTTTAGCCACAGATGAATAGAGACAACAAAACAGAGTATCGATAAAATGCTGTTTAGGTATTTTAATTGAATTCACGATTGGCGGCTAAACCCAAACTTCTGCACTGCAGTGATCACTGCCACTAGGCATAGGCGAAGGTCCTACCTGAAAATGGTTCGTTGGTAGCTGAGCCACGAGCGGCTCGTAACCAAAAGGTTGAGTATTCAAACGGGTTCGAAACACCCTTGAGTTTCATAAGAGAAACACTTTTGGTGATTCCCAACAAGGATGAAACAGCAGTAAAGCACTTCTTGACTTCTTAGCATAGATTGACTTCACTTACAGGAGGAGATCTCAATTTGGTTACCAATTCAAGTCAGACAGCGGGATAATTCAAGTGCTTTTGATAGCCCCCGGCATAGAGTGAAGAATAAAAACAGCTCAAGATATCCATCTTGTGTCAAAGTTATGGAACCACCTATGTTACTAACCCGCCCTGGCAGATCGGCAATATTGGTTGACAGGCTAAAGACAGTACACTGCGACAGTCTACTGGAAGACAGAAAACCTTGAAATTGACTATAAAGCAGTAACGGAACCAAAGTTGATGATAGTTGGCAAAGTTTGGAAAATTATCAGACTAGGTGAATTCATCGGCAGCTGATGAGTTGGCTGTTGTTCTGTGCACCAAGCCCGGAAACTGATTTGCAAACATTTAGTCACCATTCGAGGAGATATCATCAGTGCAGGGTTTGGTACGTTGATGAGGGTTCTCCGGATGGTGATGAAACGTTCGCCAGTCGATTGGCAGGCTCGACGAGAATGTCAACGGCCATCTACCAACGGTGACAGTTCTAAGAATCTGGGAACCATGTTGAACACAAGGCAAACGGACTAGCAGATTGAAATAATAGTATCTCC